TCCCACAGAGGCAGTATTGTACACTCAAATGCAGAAAAGAGAAACACCCTGTGCAGCTTATTAGTAAAATCTCTGATGACTGTTTGTGCGCTAATGGTTTCTAAAAAAGTTTACTTCCAGGCCTTCTGAAAGAGAAAGCCATTTTTAAACAGCAAGAGTAACTATAAACCAAGGAAAGGTATAAAGCAAGAAAGGCTCTTAACTCACTGTAAGGAAACGCTATATAAATGCCCTTATGGATTGTTCCAGTTCTCACTGCATATCGACAGTAATTAGACGACCAGTTTGCACACTGAATTATAATAGTAGTGAGAGCTTACAAGAGATCAGAATGCTGCTGGTGTACATTCAATTTTCATTCCGGCAGTCCTAATATTTAATCAGTATTTACTTTGAAAGACAAACACAGCAAAGCATAACCCCCTAAACTACAGATTAGATGTCAATTCTCTCTTGGGCATGCCTATCATTTTTTCACACATTCTTCTGTGAATGACTGAAATCCTGTATGTCTTGCTTACCATAAAATGTTCATAAAATAAAAGAGTGAGGCTGGGGCTCATGGATAACGTAGAACTGAAACCCCTGGTGTGGCTGTAGCTAGGAGCAGACCACCACAGTAACACTTCTAGATGTTTTTAACTACAGGCATGGCCAGCAAGCAATTACTGCACTTACTGTTCATTGCCTCCCTTCTGTGCAGCTACTTCAGTTGGAGAGGGTTACTTGTTTTTAAAGACAGTCTTTTCTTGGCCATTTGGCTTTTCTGTAACAAAACCCTGTCTAATGTCTTTGTGGGAAAAAGAGGAGAAAAAGGTAATCTTACAAGTCCTTTTCCACCTTGCCCACACTTTGACATACCAGAATTTTAAACTTAAAGGCCTTCCTGTTCTGAGGGCAGAGAGCTGAGTTGTGAAATGTGCAAATTTTAAGTGACTGATGTCTTCCAATTTGGTTAAGATGTGAAAAACCATCCCATAATATCAATGGTACAACCAGCAAAATCTGTATCTATTTCCACTGTTGTGAACGGAATGTATGACATCATTGTTTTTGCAAGAATTCAACTTTGAAATTTGTGCATTATCTCACAGAGATATCTTCTTTAATTTTAATTTTGTGCTGTTAGAAATAAAATTTCTAGGGCACATAACTAGATGTTGGTTTTGTTGTTTATTAAATATTATCATAAAAAAGAAAATGGGCAGAATGTAAGTGCAATGATGATGAAAAACATGCAAGATATTGAAAGGAAGCAAATTGCCAGGTCACAGATTCTTGTACCTTCCTAGCACAGGCAACGACTACATACAGTCTCACTCAAATTTATGGCACTGCATCTTAGAGCTAGTAGGCTGTCCGTCCGAACTATTCCTATCAAAAAACTTTCCAGAAATCACTGTTCAAATAAGAAATTTAATTTATGATCTAGATGTACTCTTTTCAATTTACACTAAATTTGCTTTTATGTGCTTTATGCATTTCTTCTTGCACAAATCAGTCCAGCTGTTACAACACATATTGTTAGAAATCAGTTTTGACCTGATCAGACTTTTTAAAGTCTTCTCTTACAAGATGGCTACTTTACGTCCCTGATTACTCTTTCAGCACCTGTTTCAATATGAATGAACTTTTCCTGAACACAGGTAACAAAAGTTATGTGGAGTATTCCAGGAGAGGTTGTCTTGTTCAATAATGGTTCATTTTTACTCATAATGTATCATCCAGCACATACTAGAAAATATACGTCAGAAAGCTTTGGCTGTTCATAACTTAGAAGTGGCAAAGAAAAAAAATGTTCCTGCTGTCATTTTTGAGTTATATTAATACATAATTTCAATGGCTGAAGAAAAAACATTCTCAAACAAACACTTTAAGTTGTCTTTCCAGTTAAATTAGGCGAAGTTTGTTTTCTTGAAAGCTGCTTTATTTAAACAATGAAGCAGTAACATGAAAGCCTGACATGTAACATTTATCAGGAGGAAAAAATACTCTAAAGCACTGATCCTTATCTTTTAAGTCTTTTTAAAAATGTCCTAAAGCTTTCAGCTAAGAGGAGAGGTATCTTCTCCCAGCACTAACTCTAACAATTAAAAATACATTTTTAGAGTCTTATCTCAATTTTGGGATAAAACGCTGCAGCTGCAGAGACTAAGCATAAGCTAATGCTGGATAAGGCCAAGCTCTAACTAGCGTGAGCCACAAAGAGAGCTAGTCACTGCGGAAGAACAGCTGTTCAGCCTGCTCTGTTTATCTTATAATTCAAATGCATTTTGATATTTGCTCCAAAAAATCAACAAACTGATCTCATCTCCCTTTTGCTAAATCTGCCTTTAATTTACACTCCGCAATAGCCAAGATCTTAGTGTTTCATAAGCAACAAAACCCTTCAAAACCTCATATTTTATCATTTGTCTTCAGAGAAGATGAAAATTGCTTCTTTCAATGGAATGTACCACTGAGAAGATGCTGCTTTAATTCATTAATAATATGGAAGATGACCTAGAAAAATAAAATTCCTTCATGCCATTGGAATGAGGAAAGCTAAAATCAAGAGGAATTTTGCCTGTAGGCCAAATATTGCTTTTTCAATACTGTAAGAGGTGACAAGATCAGGGGCGATGTGGGGTGAAAGAAAGCAGCAAGTCAGAAATCCACAGCTCTGCAGCCTGAACAGCACAGAGCAGGGCAAGGTGGGCAACGACAGCACGTGCTGTACACACCTGACTGATGTAGGAAAGAGGAGCTGTGCACATTGCTATGGGCACCTGTTGCCAAAACCAGCCCATACTGGGGCCAAGAGTTTGGCTTCAGGGGCTGGCTGGCCAGGTGACTGGTGTAGGGACTTGGTGTTAGTCGTAGAGATTGAGTTCATAGTGTCCTAAATGATGCACCAAAGGAATAACAGATCTTCTCTGTCCCTGCCTCTTCAGTAATATCTGTGTAAACCAAAATATGCTGTGATTCAGATATCTGGAGAAATATAAGGGGATTGAGAATGGGATGTAGAACCTTTCACTAAGGGGAAATGAGTTGTTCAGATTCAATAAAATTATTGCCATGAGACAGGTGTCTAGTGGCTTTCAGGTTCCCTTGTGCTACATTCTTGGGTTTTGTACATGGTATTGGTTTTGAGTCTTGCAGTTTGACTTTTAGCTTAAAAAGAAAGCTTTCCACAGGCACAGACTAGCTAGAATGAATATCAGGACACTGATCTGTGGTTTTCTTTCTATCTTTAGTTATAGACATGAACTGACACAGAAACATCTGCAAGAAACACATCAGTACACTTGAAACCAACTCTTTGTTCTCCAAGACGATCTGAAAATCCAATACCCACATTATGAGTGTTATATAATGCCCCTGTGGCAACTATTATTTAACCAAATACAGATGTGTTGACTGTCAAGAGAAGCAGCTCTCCTGTCCAGCCCCAATTATTTGTGCATGTTCTTTTGGCAACTCAGCCAGTTATGTGCAGTATCCATTCCTTTCAGTGTAATGAAGGTGAAAAGTTCAGCTATCTCTAGACAAGGCACTGCTATTTGAGCAGAAAAACATTAAAACCCATGTTTGGCCTACGCTGGTTTTGCAAAATATACACACTGGTAAGAACGGGCAAACAGAGCTAAATCCATGAAACGTGTCCAAGCCCCAAATCCGTAAGTTCAGAGCCTTTCTGAGGACTTACCTTAACTTTGGTGCTTCATTAGCTTCTGACAGTAAAGATACTACATCTCATCTGGTAGCAAGTTCTGCTAGTAATTCCTGACAGGATGAGCTGCCAGCTGGCGCCAGAGCTGTTTCCAAACTACAACCTCTCTGGGCCTATAAATATGTAATTATTCCTTGAATAGTGGAAGGGGAGAGAGTACTAGATATTCCCAGGAGAGGGGCTCTCTCCTGGGAGTCAGAGCCCAGGAGAGTCAAAGTCAGCGCAGGTTTAAGGGAAAGCTAAATTCCCTGTGTATTCCCCACTGTCAGTGAGCACTCTCATGTCAACTTGGGGTAAGGAAATGGGGCTGGAGAAAACGTCGAGTAAGGATTGGTTTACCTTGGAGAGACTCAGCAGAGAGAAACACCTCTCTCTCACCACTTCTGCAGGTTGAGATTTTTCTTTTATAGTTATGCCTGATGCCTGCCTAGCTCTCTCATCACGCTGGCTTTTGGGGCCCTTTCCTAGGAGCCCAGTTCTCTCCATGAGGAGGTGAGTTCCTAGATGAATCGTAGGCATCCTACCTGGTTGAAAGTTGCCTAAAAGCTATGCTTTGCGATGACTATCACTGTGATATGCAGGTCTTTTAAAAGAGCTAGCTTACATTTGCTAGACAGCATGCATGTTCTTTCCTTAGGCTTCTACAAGTAATTGAGAAAAAAAAAACAACCCCAATGTAAAAATTCTCAAATCAACCATTGTTGGACTTTCTCCAAGTAGTAATATAACTTAGGTACTCATGTAAAACAGGGGAATCAAAAAGCCCCTGCATACCTTTGTAGATGCAGTTGTGTATTTGGTGAGTACATGTTGTTTTATTACTATGATTGATGATATTGGCATTGGAACATTCCTAACCTCAAAACATACCACAAGCAACCTGGACCTGAAGATATCATGAACTTCAAGGAGGGCTCTTCATGATTGTAATGTGGCTTGATACTCTTGGAGCTAGAGACAGACTAAGGAGATAAGATCCAATAAAGAAACAAGCACAAGCCCTGAAAGTTTCCAGACCAGTAAAGGACTAGTAAATTGGTTATAAAATCAAAATGCAACGTTGATGCAAAATAGAGAAAATTAAGAAAAGTAATCTGGTTTTGAAAATGGTGGAATATGTAGTGATCTTTTAAGTATTGATTAAACCTCGCATGATAAAGGGATCTATACTGGTGAAAAAGTTGGTTATTTTTGTTGCTTATTATCAGAAAAGAAGAGAAAAAGACAAACACTTCTATGGATGCTAAAGGTAAAATAACAAAATTTTATCTTTTTTTTCTGAAAAAGATAAAAAATCAGATTAGATTTTTAAGAAAAACTATCTTTTTCTAGAAAAATAGAATTATTGAAATGGCACAGATTAAAAAAACTGAGTTGTCAGCAATAGCGTTCTTCAGAAACAGAACTCTTAGAGGAGCAGGGCAGATAGTCAAGTGTGTCAAATGTGAACCTGACACAGCCTTTTCCAACACTAACATCTTTGAGTGCAAAACTAGCATCACATTTGAATCTGGGGATGTGATGACATCTCAAGCTACAAACTATTTATGTTCTAATAAAAAAGATTGCCTTAAGTATTTAAGCCTAATTAGAGTTTAAACACCACCCAGGACATAATTTTTTCTTGACTTTGTATTTCACAGTATGTTGCTCTTTATAGGTCATTTTGGAGCAAACTTATATATGAAAACATCTTGTAAAATTAAACAGTGAAAAGCCAATGCCTTCCAACTGTACTGAAATAATCATTCCCTCCTCTCCTTTCTTTTAATTCCTATACACTCCTTCTGCTCTGCTTACTCCTGCCCAACCACTGTACATTTATTCATGAGAGAAACAGCCATCTGCATCTGACTTTCCAGCCCCAAATTAGGAAAAGAGCCTAATCAGGCCAATGGGCTGGGGATAAAAGTTTTAGGCTCTTTTCCCAAGTCTGGCAAAGGTCTAATACAACTTAAGTTTTCTCTTCTTCGTTTTCCTTCAGTAAAATAGAGATTATTTCTCTTTTAGCATTGACAGTAATTACCATGTTGCAAAGTAATGTTTTGTAGCAAAAATAAGTTTTGCACAAGATTATAGCAGAAAATGAATGACATCAACTAATCTGAGTTCAGGGAAGTTACTTCTCCATGTGTTTATTTACTTAGGTAATTTGCAGAAGAGTTCCAGATTTCTCCAAAACACATAATTATTTATCAGTGATGATGCCCTATGAAAAGCCATATGCACTGATTACATAATGGCCTTTATTAGACTATTAAAAAGATATTTACATCAATATTTGTTTGACTGCTTTCCCAGAACTTTTTATCTATCATTCCTGCCTCTTCCTTCTGTAATCCTACCAATTACAAATGCACTGTATTTCTAAGTGGGTCACTCCATTGTAGCAGAGATTACGTGAATTCTCCTCAAGTTGCTTGGAAAGTTATGGAGAAAAGTAAGATTAGAGGCACAAGGGATAAGAAGCTGGTACAACACTATTGCCTGAAAGGATGTATCAGTCATCAGGGCTTAACGTATTATAGAAATTATTATAAAATGGAAGAAGGAATCAGTATTTAACTATAACTAGATTAAGTACTCCTCAGTCACTATTGTTAATTAGAATAAATATTTTGAGGTTAATAAAACCTTTTAATTTTTCATAATGTTTCTTTATAAACAGATGTTCTCAATTTCTCATTGACTTTGTACTAATTACTAATTTGTGGTCTAAATTAGGTAGATGAAGGTAGGTGTTAGTCACTAGCTGTGATCATTTCAAAATCTGGATAAGAATTCAGTATTTTCCAGTCTCTCTGTGAAATAACTATACTAACTTTAAAAATCCAAAAGCAAAAATGAGATAAAAGAAAGCTATCTTTTCCTTTCTTTAGCCCTCTTCCTTTACAGCTGACAGTAGAAATAATAAATACATAAGATGTGCTGAAGAGACCTATTTACCTCGCATTTTCCACTTGTACTGTCACTTTTATTACTGCATAAAAAGTGGTAGGTATAGATGCTTTTGTTACTTCAGAGTAACAAACCTCCAGCCACAGATGCCATGAAGCTGTGTTTTCATTATATCGGCTACAGGGAAATGTTCTTTTAGTCCTTGTTCCTGTCTCCACTCCATGTAAGTCAATTCCAGCCCTTTCAATCACTTCTCACGCACTAGTTTATCTGTGTTGGGAGCCATTTTCATAACCAGTTCCCAAGCTGTTTCCCATTGTCACTGCACCTTTGTTCAGCTATGGTTAAAACTCATTGTACATCTCACTAAAAAGGATGCAAAATGTATTATTCCTTGAGCAGAACAGCTGAATACTTTCCCAGTGCTGGACAATAGCTTGCAACCACAGCTTTTTCTTAACGTACCAATAAACAAAGACTAAGATGAGTAGAAAGGGTGAAACATTTCCATATGACTGAACTAGGAGGTTCTCCACTAATCCCGGAAATGAAGCCTGGACAAACTGTGTGCCCCTTATGTATTAACTTTGTAGAAGCACAGTGTTTGTTTTTATGGAAAAACACCCTTATTTCCTTTCTAGTCCTCTAAGAAAAAACATATTTGTCCAATATTTTTTATACTAAGGGAAAACAACATGACAAACATCACTGTCAAATGGCTCCCACACATAACTTCCACATGTAGAGAGACACATCTTCTACAAACATATTAGTGAATTTGACACAGACCATTGTTCAGATACAAATACATCTGCTCCAGTACAGCTATAGTGTGCTGTTCCCAAGAGAAAGCTGCAGTAAGGATCTAGCAAGCATTTTGTTGCATCTCTCTAGAAACTGTGTAATACCTGGAGGATGTGGCCAGAGCAATGAGCAAGGCTTGAAGAATCCCCCTGATAAAGACGATTGGATTCTTCTTGGTGATAAAGAAGTACATCATTGGCAGAATAAAGAGCCCATGCACCACCAGGCCGCAAACCACTGTAATGGCATAGAAACCCAGTTTCTTCCCAATGGCTGAAGGGTCGTCCATTTCCAAGATTTTACCAGCAATTAGGAACACAATTCCAAATGGAAAATACCTGAGCAAAAAGACAGATAGTCATTATCAGGAGATAGCTCACTTCCATTAAAGAGTAGGAGATGGGATATCTTTGTCCTTCCAGCAGCAGTGCAGTAAGAGAAGCCTGTCTGGAAGCAGCACAGCTGGGTTCTGTTGTTTCATCAGACTAAGCCACTTTCTCACACTTGAGGAGTGTGCCCGAAGCACTGGGCTGAACAGTGTTTTATATGGTTTATATATGAATATGTTTATATGGTGCTGGTCACAAATGAATTTAAAATGTTTTGGTTCAGAAGGTAGCTCAGACTTTTTATCTTAAGGCAGGTCATTTACTGGGGAGAAGGGGAATGAATCCTAAGCTTTGCTCATATGTTTGTACTCATGTAACTGCTCACGGATTATAGTTGGAAGATGTTAAGTAAATGTTTATGTTGCCTTTGGAAGACATAGGAGAAACACCAACATGAATTAGACATGTTGTTGGACTGCCTGGGAGTTTGATTCGGGGCAGATAGACAGACAGAAGAATAGCTCGTTTTTGAATCTCCTCTGGACAGGCTGTGGGATAGGTGCTTTATCAAAACAGTTGTGCTTCTGTGCATGATTAAAAAAAAAAAATAATAATAAAACCTGGGGACATCCAGCCATCTTCCACTTGCAGCTGTGCCATCTCTAGAGACTTGACACTTCCCCCTCTTCCTTCCAGAAATTACTACCCCTGTTGGACTCATCTGACCAAGCGATCATTCCCTGACTCAGGTCAGTTGGACTGGACCAGGTAGCTGGAAGCAAAGGCTGAGTCCCGGTAGTGGGACCCCTCCCCATGTCAGGCTGACCAATGTTTGGGGACCTTCTGGAGGGTGGGGAAGATGCTAAGCTGATAGTTTTTGTTGTTGGTAGTCACCTACTGTTCCTCTGATCTTTGGGCAGGTGGGTTGGCAGGCCTAGCTGGCTCTCAGTGTAATTTAGGATTGCTCTGAAGCCTTTTCCGAATTGACATGGCCTAGGATGGTTCATTGAAGGCTGTTCCGCTGACTGAAGACATCCCGAGTGACAAGCACTCTGGGTATATGATCTCCACTGTGCTGCTCAGTGCAGAGATAGCCAAGCTTCCAACAACCACACTAGCGACAGTACAGTCATGTCAGCACAAGAGCCCGCTCCTGAGCAAGCTGAAGCCAGGCTAGTATTTCTAGTGTAGCAGTGCTGTAAAGGATGGAAGTACTAGCTAGAGCATCTCGTCATGCTCCTCCCTAGTGTGGGCTGGATGTATTATAATGCCTCTTGGCATGCCCAAAGATTGGCAGTGCCCCTAGTCATTATTTGGGAGTAATACATAGGGAGCCTCTGTGAAAATGACAGCATGAGCCAGGGACAGGATGCGTGTGTATGTATCTTCCTTCAAATGCTGAGGTCCTGTAAAGCTAAGGATCATTCACCCTCATTTATTTCCCTGGAAATAAGTTTATGACATTTGTGTACGTCCTCTTCTGTGGAAATTTTCTTACGCTTTTAAAAAAATACTGATTTTCTTACTAGAACAGTTACTTACCAAACAGCAACTGCCACTATCTTCATGACAGATTCGTTTAAACACTGGCAAAAGCTGACCAAAGGAACACCACTGTTCCCCATTCTTCCCAACATTATACCTGCAAACAAAGGCATTCACGTTCAATTTCTCAGGTGCCTTCATGCAAATCCCCAGTGTTTTTCCCCGCTGCTATAGTTCAAAGTGAACTGAGTGGGAGATGACTCGATGAATATAGATCTTTGTGCTGTATAAACAGACATGGTACGTGAAAATCTCACCTTACACAAACTCGAGAGCGTGGGGGAGCCAGGCCACAGCCTTGTGCTTTGGCTCCATACAAGGCTCTCTCCCCTGGCTGGGTGTTTTTTGCAGTTGCAGTTCCCTGAAATTTTCCCTGTGGAGGTACAAACTTTTGTGTTGCAGATTTAGCCCCTCTGATAGCAAGCTTGTTTCCTTAACTATTTTTCATAGAGCCCTGAGGAGGATTTATCTGCTCTGAGGGATCCACAGAACACAAACGGAGAAACTTTCTAGCGAAGGAAGCTGTCTCTGCCTGCAGTCTGCCTTACTTCCGTGCACTGCATACAATTGGGCAGCATCCATGAGACACTCCTGGGGCAGAGCAAGAACTGAGGTTTGTTCTGGTAACAGGAAGTTAATATGGGGGGGTCTCCATTCTATTTTAGCAAATATCTGTCTACATAATAACAACCAACTTTCATGATCAGTAAGGCTTTGCAAACTTTGGGGAGGTAAGGAAATGCAAGTTCATGTGAAAAAAACGCCAAATTGCTGTACAGACTAACCAGCAAAGAAGAAAGCAAAGAAAACCCATTTGTGTGCACTCAGCATTCAGAAAGGAAAAGAATATAGCTCTGGCATGTATCATCTAAACGTCATTTCTCTAGACGGTGTTAGTTTCCAATAATGCATATAAACAGACAGGATTTTCCTATTTTATTAATTTTCTGCCATCACTCCCTGAAAGGATTATTAAGTGATCGAGTTAATTGCTCAAGGCAGCACTTCAAAAGCTATTTGCACCGAGTGAGACTGCCTTTGAAGGGAGTTTCACAAGGACGCAGGGGGCTATGAGTGGGGTGCATGCTGCCACTTGCTCTGGATGAGCAGTGTCCTTGCTTTGAGCTCTGCACCTCAGAGCCCACATCTGTGCTTGAGAGCCAGGAATCAGGCAGCACCGCTTCCAGGGCAACCCGCTCCTGGGTCAGGGAGGGAGGCTCTCAGCTGTTTTATCCAGGGATTTCACAATAACAGTGCATTCAAGATGTGGGTTTGTAAGCCTGTTAATATTCATCTAAGCTATTACTTTCAGGTCAGAAAAAAACACTCTTTTATCAAGCATGTTGTTTTACAAGAGTCTTGGCTTCTAATTCTATATAATGCCAAAAAGAACAAATACCTTCTTTTTCATTTTACAACAATAACTGAAATTTGCTCTTTAAAACAGTCCTACCTAAGCATGTGGCTACTGGTGGAGACAGACAGGGAAGCAGGCAGGACTGGGGCCTTCTGTCTGCAGCCCTGGTGTACCATATTCCATTTCCATGCAAACATTCTCCTTGTAGAGAATAAATAATGTGTGCTCCTCCAAAAGAAAAAGATCAGATGTCTCAATGCTTAGCCGCTTATGATAATCTCTAACTGAAATTCCTGCGCACTGTGTGAGAAGAGGTAAATGGGCGAGTCACAGCTGAGCTCAGCATCAAGGCTTTTCGTTTGTCTTGACCTCACACTCTGCCTGTCAAATGTTGCCATTTTAAGGCATGCCTGGAAAAGAAGTCCACTGTGGTAAGGTACTAGATGGCATATAACTATCAGCATTGTAGGATGGCAAAAATAAAATCAGAAAGTTTCAATCAAAAAGAAGATCCACAGATTTGAAACTGATAAAACAATATACCTTTGTAGCTCATTTATTCAAGATATCACTGAGGCTTGTTATCTGAGTTGGGTTCTTACATAGATAAGTGACTTATATTCCACGTTAATAATGTGGTAAAATATGACTAAGAATGGGTAAGAACAACAGACAGGGCAGGTTCCAGAGCTAAAGTAATCTTCTGCCTGGTGAGAGGAACTTTAGCCAAGGAGTTGGTCTGGAGTAGGTTTTTCTTGTCCTGCCAGCTGCAGGGGTGAAACATCCAGCCATGAGAGTGAGGACTGTCTCAGCCTGATGTCCCCTGAACCAAGAGCAGTGCAGGAAGTTCTTTGTTCATGTAATACAGCACCTGGAGCTCTGGGCGTTAGAAGTGTACTAATTTCTTGAGCTTTGGAAAGAAAGTCTGCTATGGACTTGTTTATTTCAGAATTTCTTGAAAGTTTGTCTGGGATTTTTGCTACTGTCCAGAGACTGAAGCAGAATATTGGCAGAGGGGCATGGGTCTGACCTGCTATAGTAATTCCTAGCTCCTCTGAGCACACTGTATTAGTGTTTCTTATAGGCAAGAAAAAATGGTTCATAAATAAAAGCTCAAAATAATCCAGAAAAAAAGAAATGAAAAAGAATGTAAGTGCATGCACAGAAAACAGAACTGCCTGGAACAAAAGTCAACAAAGATTTTGAAGATTTATCTTTGAAAGGTTGAGAGAATAGTTCTGTAACAGTCTTGCCTTTTTCCCCACAAAGTTTAGATAGAATCAGTTAAAAAAGGTGAATCACAAAACCAAACAACCCAACCTCTCTCTTTTCCTCTTAAATGATACTTGGATTATTACAACCCAAACATGTCCGAAACCTACCCATTGTGGCAGAGAATATCACAATCCCTAGCACATTCATGCCGTCACTAGTGCCTGGTTCTGACTTGTAAATCACTTCGGGAGGGGGAGTAATATCCAAGGCAAAATTCTGGACGTTGGATCCATTCTCATCCTGGATTCCATATATTATAATGCGACGAGTGGTGCTTTCAGATGATGCTTTGTTAGATTTAATAATGGGAATACTCTTGGTGCGATACTGAAAGAAAACAAAATAATTTTTATTATAATACCCCAG